ATAGTCTGGTCAGATGAGACAAAAATTTTACTCTTTTGATGCCATAATACACACCATGTTTGGAAGTCAAATGGCACTGCACATCACCCCAAAACATCATGGTGTAGCACTGGCAAAATTCATATAATTGAAGGAAAGATGTATGGAAAAATGTACCGAGACATTCTTGATAAAAATCTGCTGCCGTCTACCATGATGATGAAGATGAAACGAGGGTGGACATTTCAGCAAGACAATGATCCCAAACACACAGCCAAGGAAACTCTCATTTGGTTTCAGAGAAAGAAAGTAAAGCTGCTAGAATGGCCCAGCCAATCACCCGATTTGAATCCAATAGAAAATCTATGCAAAGAACTAAAGATTAGAGTTCATAGAAGAGGCCCATGGAACCTTCAAGATTTGAAGACTGAAGATTTGTGTGGAAGAATGAGCCAAAATCACACCTGAGCAATGCATGCGACTAGTTTCTCCATACAGGAGGCGTCTTGAAGCTGTCATTACCAGCATAGGCTTTTGTACGAAGTATTAAATAAATTTCAGTTCGATACTTTTTCCGTGGGTCTTTCCATTTTATTACACGGAACATAATTTCTGAACTTATTTGTATTGTTTTCTTGTATGTATGGATTACTTGGGTTGTTAACGATATCTGGTGAAAATTTCATGTCAACAGCACCTTTAGAAATATATTTACTGAGAAAAATGGTGATGTGTTCAATACTTATTTTACCCGCTGTATATATATATATATATATATATATATATTGTGGGCTGATGGCTTCGAATGACCATGGGAAAACGTGGGTCCCAAAGCCAAACCAGTTGAGAACCACTGACCTAAACCCATATTGCCGGATGCTTTCAACAGTGTGGATACATTGAAATGCATGGATTTTTGTGGAGAAAATCTTCAGCCAGTTGGTTATACAGCACATTATATAGGTTTGTAAATGGTGGTTATGTAATGTGAATGTGTGTGTATACTCAGGCTCATTCGTTCCTTTGACTCCAGGATATGCACATGCCATCTGGAGCTCTATTCTTGTAATTGCTGTTATTTCAAAGACCGTTTCTCTGTGCTTTTGCAGGCGACTATGCCGGCTTCCCTGGTTGTGGCCTTCTCCGTTTACACAGCACTTACCGCCATGACCTCAAAATTTACGCATCAGATGAGGGTCGTGTGCAGATGACTGCGGCGGCTTTTGCAAAGGTTTGTTGGGTTTTGTCTGCTGGATATGTTGGTATTACAATGCTTTTAGATGGGATTGATATAAACCACAGTAGATTAACAGTGGCGCTCAAAATTATGCTGTTTTGCTTGTTTTTTAAATATATTTTGTTTTGTGTTTTTATCTATTGTTTGTTTTATTTGGTTTTTTTATGCTTGATTTGCTTGTTTTTAACATTTATTTTTGTCTTTTTTCACACTTTAATACTGTTTAAAAAAAAATTTATATTATATGTAAATGATCTATTATTTAGTGCATCTTACATTAAATTTTTTTTCAAAATCATATTTATTGTATCCAGGTTTAAATTAGATTTTTTTTGTTGCCCCCCCATATTATTTCACACATTCATTTACATTGACATTTTACGTGTGGCTGTATTCAGGGTCTGTTAGCACTGGAAGGAGAGTTGACTCCAATCCTCGTTCAGATGGTGAAGAGTGCCAACATGAACGGACTGCTGGACAGCGACAGCGACTCTCTCACTGACTGCCAGCAGAGAGTCAAAGCTCGATTACATGAGATCATGCAGAAGAACAAAGACTTCAATGAGGAGGACTACAGCAAGGTGAAGCGAGTTACAACTGCTTATTTAAAAATGGCTCATAATCTCAGTCTAACTAAACTAGTCTTAAAATTGTCCTGTCTCTTTAAGTTGGCTTCAACAGGCAGCCCATCTCTGGTGAACTCTATGGAGGTAATCGTCAATCCAGTCAGTACTTGTGATCGAGTTCACACACTCATTAAAAGCCTTACGTGTCAGATCTGTAAAAGGCTGGAAGACCCCAAATCTGCAGGTTTGCCCTCTTTGGCTTCTTAGAAGGACAAAAATTATATATATATACTGTATGTATATTTTTATATATATATATAT